TGATTCTCCTGCCTCAGCTTTTCTGCTGCGGGACTTTATAGATGTGCACTGCTACCATGCCTGTCCCTGCCTCCCTCCATTCATGTATATATGTGTGTGCGTGTAGCTCTGCATGTGTGGGCACGTGTGTGTGTGTGCATGTGTAGGTTTGCATGTGTGGGCACGTGTGTGTATATATATGTGTGTGTGGAATTTTGTATGTGTGTGTGTGTTTATGTGTGTGTGTGGAGGACCATCTTCTGTCCCTCTTCTTTATCTTATTCAATGAGGCAGGTCTTTCAGTCAAACTGAGCTCAAACTACAGGGCTAGGGATTTGCCTTCCAAGCTGGGGGTGCATGCAGACTGCCATACCCACCCTACAGTGTACCTCCTGCTTGTGAGGCAGGTGCTTTAGCCGCTCAGCCAGATCCTTTGGTTTTTCAGTACCGGGTCCTGTTTGATAGTGTAGCTCACGTTGGCCTTGAACTTGAGCCCTTGTTTTATAGGCTCACATGCACTACCAGGTCCCTTGCGACTGCATGTTCGAGGGTGGGGTTCTCAGGGAAGAATTGGGCTGACTACAGACTTTCTTTGAGAGTATCCCCAGGGTTACCGAGGCTTCCTCACCCTTTGGAGCTCCTTCTTAGCAGAAGTAACTGACCGTTACTTTTGTAATCCCCATACTTCTGCAAGGGATGCACTCGTTCTCTCTCTTTCTCATGCTTAACTCTCTCATCTCTGTCAGCATGAGTGTCTGATTTTTGTAAAAAGATAAAAGTAACCACTGGGGGCTGGGAAGATGACTCAAACATTGAGAGCTTTGGCTATTCCTGAGTTAGTTCCTAGCTTCCACATGGTGGCTCACAACCGTTTGTAACTCCAGTTTCGGGAGAGCTGACACCCTCTTCTGGCCTTTGCAGACACTGTCCACATGCAATGCACAGATGCATATGCAGGCAAAAACACCCGTGAATATAGTATAAAATAAATGTTCAGAAAAATGGGAGTGCCGGGCATTGTGTCGCACACCTTTAATCTGAGCACTGGGGAGGTAGAGGCTGGAGGATCTCTGTGAGTTTGAGGCCAGCCTGGTCTACAGAGTGAGTTTCAGGACAGCCAGGGTTACACAGAGAAACCCTGTCTAGAATAACCAAAGAAGAAAAAGATGAGGAGGAGGAGGAGAAGAAATAAAAGTAGCAATTGTTACTAAGGCTGGGGACCCTTCTTACTCTTAGCACTTGCAGCTGGAGGCTACAGCTGGCAGAATCTGGTCTAAGAAGTGTGGGCTTCCTGTAACTTGCCCTAGAGACCCCAGCCCATGTGGCACCTGGAGACCCTGGAGAGCTCCTGAGAGAGAAACACGGAGAGTTTAGAGATTGTGAGTGCCGGGAGGAAAAGGAAAAGTCGCTCTGGGCTGGGCAGAGCTGGCCACACAAGTGTGAGGACCCAAGTGCCATCCCTAGAACCTGAGAAAAAGTCAAGTATGGTGACAGACTCTGTGACCCCAGCACTGGGGAGGTGGAGACCGGCAAATCACCACTCCAGATCAGAGAAGAATCTTATCTCAAAGAGAAAAAAAAAGGGGCTGGTGTCTGAGGAACGACACCTGAGGTTGACTTCTGGCCTTCACACACATACACACATATAGGCACGCACTCACATGACACTGCCCCCCCCCCCCCCCAAGCACTATAAACCAGTCAGAAGCAGACATGCACCTTGACTATGCCTCCGCCTCAAGGTCGAGTCCACGCAGTCCAATGGGGCCTTAGTGAGTCTGGGTGCGCCACCCCTGTGAAGCATGTCCAATACCGCATTGCTTGCTGCCAGGAATGGTGGCTGTGCACTTTATGAGCAAGGAAGTGACACATGGACACAGACCTGCTTGATGAGGGCTCTGAGCAGGCACTTGTGTGGGTCCTTGAGCTCATTCCCAGCACTGTCACCAGTAGGGACAACAGACCCCCAGTTTGGATCAGGCTTCCATTGGAAAGAGCTGCCCCCTCCCAAGCTTTTCACGCCTGCCGTTCCCCACCAGCCTGGGCTTTTACTTGATAAACACCAGGGAATACTGGACAAGAAGCCTGTCCCTTGTCACTTTAGTGCTTGAACATAGGTGTAGGAAGTCACCATAAATCAATCCTTCAAGACTTAAAGCTAACCAGAGTCTCCAAATCTGACCTCTGTGACAAGTGACAGGAGCCTCCATGGCTGAGCTCTGAATATCGTAGCAGACACTATTTGCCTCTCTGGGTTTATCATGTTGCCTTGGGCCATGTCCTATAGCAAGTGGTTCAAGATATGATGGTCCAAGAGGAAACTGGAAAGCAGGAGGATGGAGTTGGTGGAAGCCATAAAAGAGGATTGGCTTTGGGCACAAGCCCCTTTCCTCAATGGCAGGATGTTCCAGTGGCTGTGTACTGTTTAGTTAGTCCAGGGAACCCGAGCTCATGCATTGCATGGTCAAGGTTTGGTGAATGTCTGCACAGGGGACAGCTCCTTAGCTCCGGTATTGAGGCTGGGAGGCCCTAAAGGACCAGGAAGAACACAGACCGTGCTCACCATTGCTGACAGTTGTGGGTGACTTGGAGTCTCTCTTGCCACAGTGGGGCACCCACGTGTCTTCCAGGCAGAGGAGCTGTATCTGTGCTGTTCCCATCATTTCATGTTTTCTCCCGTGCCTCCTCCATCCTCAGGCCCAGCACCCCACCCCCATCCTCTCTTAGGAGCAGCATGGTGCTGTCCAGGGGAGGAGGGTCACACACTTCCTCCCTTGAAGGATACTCAGACCTTGTGCTTGCTGACTCTCGGAGGCAGTGAACAGGAGAGGTCAGGCCTCCTTGACCCCACAGTCTCCAGTGTCTAGGTGCCATGTGACCTGGGACAATATTGACTTGGCCTATCTGATGGTGTGCTTGACAAACACAGTTTTGTTCCGGGCCACCTTGGCTCCACCAGTCTGGTGGGCCTGAGCTGGTGGCCACACTCAAGGCAGACAGCTCCAGCTTTCAAGAAAGCCAGCCTTACCCGGAGATGTGGCCTCACAGGTGAGTGAGTGGCTGGCTGAGCCCTTGGCTTCCTCCCTTCCCAATAGCATGGTGGTGTCCATCTGGGGACCATCACCCCAGACTCACGTGGGTTTCTTTACTAAGGGAGCAGGACCTTCCAGGACATTCCAGAAACCCTTGACGAGCAAATGCTTGGGCCTGGCTCTGAATTTCTAGGCCCTCTCTTAAATTTGGAGTGAGAAAAATAAATCTGGAGCTTGCTCCGAGAGTATTGTCCCCAGAGTGCTGGGTTGGGTGGCCTGGCAAGATGCCCCGTAAGTTGCAGAGCGGGAGATAACCTCGGTGAGTTCAGGGATGTACTGGCTGCCGGATGAGAGGGTGGACACCGGTAACTTAAGTGCACCTGGAACACTTCAGGTCAGTGTTGTGAAACCCACAGATTGGCACCAACCTCGTTCTTCACTTCCTACCCTCAGGTGTGCCGCCTGCCAGTCCTTTGTGTTTGCATTATTAGGAACCGTCTAGAAAGGCTGTACAGGCTGAATACTCACATTGCCACCCAGGCGAGTTCAGCGAGAGGTGACAGGTGATGGAGCACACAGGCTCTCCATGTGGAAGGGCCACCTGGCATCTCTCATGGCTTGTTGGACTGGCTCCTGGGGAGACAGCTTGGGTTGGAAGTCCTGTACCCTGTGGCCCAACACTCTGACCCTCATTTCCCCGCACTGTGCTCCCAGCTGCAGGTGATGCGCTACTTTGTGGGACACAAGTTGGTATTAGGGGTAGGAGACAGCAAAAGCCAGCTGTCTCTCACCCAAGGAGACATAGTTATCAGGAACCAGAGTGGATAAGGTCTGTGTGTATGTGTGTGTGTGTGCGTGTGTGTGTGTGTGTGTGTGTGCGTGTGTGAGCACGTGTGTGTGCATGCATGTGGGGAGGGGGGAACACCTGTATGCAATGAGCACACGTGTATGGCAGACAGACATAATTGGACAGGTGCTGTTTTTCTGGAAAATTCTGGAGGCGTATCTCGAGGGTGTCTGCTCTGAGCTGCTGAGCCCATTTAGGGATACTCTCTTTGTCTTTCAGATCAGGGGTCTCTGACCTCATTTCCCAACAAGGAGCCTGAGTTCTAAGGGAGCAAGCATCCTCTCTACCATCACTCAGTGAGTCCCGGGCTAATAGGCCTGTTGGCTTGTGCGGGTGGCTGGGGGTGCCGGTAGGGGTTCCTTTCTCAGAAACCTCTGTGGGGCTGGAGTGGGTGGTGTTCAGCCCACCTCCAGAGGCTGCCCCAGAGGGAAGAGATTACCCCTCCTCCCAGGTTCCAGACCCTTTCTGGGGCGGTCTGTGTTGACCACCCCCATGCTGCCACAGGCTGGAGCTGCCTTGGGGACTCTGCGCACAGCCTGTGTGCTAATTGAGCCATGTCTGGGGTCACCTCTGGGCTCCAGCCGACTGTTTCCCCTCTCTGTGCCTCTCTCCTCTTTTCAATAGTACAGTCTCCCTGCCGCCCTCCCTGCTGGGCCGGGCCTCCCTGCAAGCCTCGTGGCCCCTGCTCGGTGCGGGCCTGCTGCTGCTGCTGCTGCACAGCTCGCCCAGCCTTGGACTGCGCCGGCCTCCAGAAGTGATAGCTAATTGGGGAGAGAAAGAGCCCGATTGTCTGCGGCAGCCGGAAAGGCCCGGAGGAGGCGGCCGCTTCGCCCTGCAGCTGCCACCGCCGGAGATGTTTGGGGATTACGTCAGCCTGGCGGGCAGGGGCCGCGGGGACAGCGCGGGAGGCGGGCTCCCGCAGGCCTCCCGCCGCCAGGGCCTCTGGACAATGCTGCCATTGTCGGTGCATGGAGTGCTTAGCTCCCCATGAATGGTGCACGGGCCTCTTGACCAAGGAGGCCGCCTGTAGCCCCAACTGTCCCCTCACAGGCAGGGAGGCCCTGTGCGGTGGGAAGGACTGTTTGTGGACTGCACGGGTCTGTCCCTCAGAAGGGGCCACCAGCAGGAAAAGCAGAACTGAGCTCAGGCCCCAGAGAGGTTGCTGTTGCTCCAGCCTGTGTGGTGGCCTCCTGCCTCAGCATGGCTTCCTGGTTTGGGGACACCCTTGGCCCTGACCCACTCATGGTGCTTTTGGTTGTCATCCTCCTGGTGCGCTTCATCCTGTGGTCCTGTCTGGGGACCTATATGGACTACAGGCTGGCCCGGCGTTATCCTGACAAACCCAAGGAAGAGTAAGCGTGAGGACCAGTGGAGACCAACCCAGGAGGTTTTGTATTGTGACAATATCATCCCTCTGTCCATTGGGTACCACAGATGCCTTCATGCAGGACACCTTTGCTCCCCTGCCATGCCTCTCCAGCGCTGCCCCCATGAGCTCTTTAGCCTGGGTTAACCTCCCTAGGCCTTTGCTAGTCAGGCAGGGATACAATACTTAGTCCTACCCACTGTGCAGAAACCAGAGCACAGAAGAAACAACAGGGTCAGAGAGGCCCCAGAAGCTGCTTAGATTAGTGAGGATTGTCCCACTTGGGCTGTCAAAGCAACCCTTATTACCAGGTGCTCGCCCCCATGGCAGTGTATGCCCCAGGAAATGCCTGGCCTTTCTCTAGCGCTATTTTTTGTTATTAAGAGCCAGGGTTGTGTGGGAGGCCATGGGGACAACCATGGCCATTACTCCCAAGGCCAGTGCTGTCTGGAACCTCTGCTGCCCCAACCAGTCACTGGATGCAGGCAGAGAGCTGCCTCAGTTTCCCAGAGCAGATCTTAGTGACATGTCTCGAGATGGCCTCATGAGATGGAATTGAAGCCTCCTTGGCCCCGAAACAACTCCTTACCCATCAGGTCCCAGTTTCCCACCCTGGTTTGTCATAAGAATGAACCTACGGGAATGGTGACACAGCTTTTGCGAGACTGTGCTGGTTTTAAAGCTCAAAGTCCCTTACTCTAGGAAGCCCAGGTGGCCTCGGAGAGGAGTATTCACAGTTCACACACTTGTGAATACGTGTTTGCCCGTGTGTGCGAAGACCCAAGGCTGTGACAAGACAGGAGATGGGGCATCTGCCAGCCTTATGCGACTCCCCAGTTCAGTGGTGGTAGTCAGTGATCCCCTGTTTTCTCCTTGAGCGAGATCACAGAACAAGGTGTCTGTGCTCGGCGTTCGAGGCTGCAGCGTGGCAGTTCTGCGACTTGGCAAGGATTGATTTGGTTTTGCCCTCTTTAGCGCAGGTTTAGGGCTTCATTGCTGCAGGTAGGCTGCAGCTGCTCCGGGGACTTTGCGTGATATCCATGTACAGAGAGACAGTACGCTAGAGATGGGGAGCAGTGCCCTCAGGAAGCCTGAGTTTTGCATCTCATAATCCAGAATGATGTCATAGTGTCTTGGTCTCCTGATGGTTGCTGTCGTAAATACCATGAGGGAAGCAGCATGAGGACTCAGCTCACAGCTCCAGATCAGCCCATCATGGCTGAACCGTCACTGGGAGGAGCGAGAGGCAGCCACTCCCATTATGCCTGAAGTTGGAAGTGGACAAGCAGCACATGTCCCTCGTGGCCTCTGCCACTGGCCTGGACCACTCATTTCAGTGATGGCCTTTTGAGGACTGGTTTGGGTATTTGGGTGTCTCTGTGCCTGGATACTAGCACCCATCCCCCAAAAAGGTTCCAGCCAGAATGTTCCCAGAAGAGACAGCTGTGCCCCTCTGCTCATGGCTGGTAGTCCTGAGACAGGCAGTAGCCATGCAGAGGGCAGTGAGTGGTGGGAAAGGACAGCAGGTGTGGGAATCTGGGTGTCAGATTCCCCATCCCTTGTACGCTCAGCACCTGAATTTGGAGGCAGGATCTTGAATGAGATGACGAAGGTAAATGAGGTCACATGATCCCTAACCACAGTGATTGGTGCTCTCAGATAAAGAAGAGAGACATTAGGACACAGCCTGTGTCAGATGTGGTCTGCAAGCCACGGAGAGAGGCCTCGGGAGAAGCCAGCCCTGTGACACTTCCACCGTGGGCTTCTGGCCTCCAGCAGGTGAGGTAAAGCAACCTGCAGCTTAAGCCTCCCACCTGTGGTGCTCTGAGCTGATTAATAGAAGAACAATGGAGTCATTAACCCAACAAAGAGTCACCTAGTGTGCCCAGCCCAGGGTCTCCTACTCAGCACAACACTGACCCACAGCTGCCTTGGGTCTGGGAGTCACGGTCAGTGGGCAGAAGTTCTGGAAACAGAGAGTAGTCCTTGTAGGTGCATGTGACTATGGACCACTAAAAATGTGGCCAGTGCAATCTTTGATGCATGGTGAGTGTGACCACAAAGGCTGTCACAACATATCTGAAATGTCTTCATGTTGGCTTGCAGGAAAATGGTGGCAGTTTTGGACACATTGCAATAAAATACAAAAGTTAATTTTCCTGCTTCTTTTAGTGAGTTTCCATGTGATTACCAGAAAAATTAGCTGGATGTTTGCAGTTTGCATGTTTGTTTATAATGGACAATTGTGTTTGGAGAATGGTCTATGGTAGCCATAGTTTCTGTTTTGAATGAGTTTCTTAAGAGGGGGAGGGAGGGAGGGAGGGAGGGAGGGAGGGAGGGAGGGAGGAAGGGAGGAAGGGGACAAACGTGGACTCAGGCACAGCTGACTGGGGAAGTCCCATCAAGGTCCCCTGCTGGAGTTCCCTGTGAAGAGTCCCGGCACAGTAGGTGTCCCCTCAGGTGAGGCTTTCAGTAGAAGAACAAATAGCAGCAGGTGAGGGGGTCATCAGGTTAGGCCCTTAGTCACCCAGCAGAAATCCCCAGGCTGGGGAGCTGAGGCATCAGCTGGAGTTCAGGGTGGAGCTTTCTGTCCAGGCTGAACTTCCAACCTCTCCTTCCCACCTTGGGGCTTTTCACAACGGTAATTTCTGTTGGGAATGACCACCTTCCAGCAGCTCTCAAGGGCTCCAAGTCTTTACTTTTGGGTTATTTTGCTGTTTGTATCTCTCCAGGTCACAGAGTTGATGGGGGGCAGTCTGTCCCCAGACCTTGGAAGACACTCTAAGACAAACATAGGTCTGAAATGGGGGAACCTTTCAAAGAACTCAAGCTACGTACAATTTACTAATATAATGTCCACTTCAGGCCCTCACAGTGTGTACAGTGGTAGGGACTGTGTAACAAGAACACAGAGAGAAGCACTGTGAGTTCCAGGACAGCCATGGCTACATAAAAAAGACCCTGTCTCAAAAAATATAAAGCCCAGGACCTTGCCTAGGGATGGTGCTGCCTACATTCCCACTTCAATTGACCTAATAGAGACACGCCCTCTCTGATATGGTCAGAGGTTTGTTTCCATGGTGATTCTAGATTCTGTCAAGTTTATAATCAATATTAATTATCATAAGTCTACTCCTTGTCAACTTGATACTCAAATGTGTGACTTTCAACCATGCCTCCACCCCACTGTCCCCACGGGCTCACAAGCATCTCATAATGCAAGGGCAATAGTCCCGTTTCAAATGCCCCTTCCTCTTTAACAGATGCCCTCCCCCTTTGTTTCCTGAGACAAGGTTTCTCTGTGTAGCTTTGGAGCCTCTTCTGGCACTTGCTCTGTAGACCAGGCTGGCCTCAAACTCAGAGATCTGCCTGTCTCTGCCTTCCAAGTGCTGGGATTAAAGGTGTGCACCACCACACCTGGCTTAGATGATCTTTAACAGGTCCAAGTTTAAGTACCAAGTCTCTTCTGGGACTGAGGCTATGCCTTTATTCTGAGCCCTATACTGTCCAACCAAGTTACTTCCTTCTATACACAATGACCCAAGGTAAACATTCCCACCCTGGAAAGGAAGGGTTGGGAACAGAAGGAAGGCCAGACAAAAGCAATATGAAAGCACATTGGGGCAAACGAAAAATTCTTCAGCTTCATGTCCAGCAAATGGAGCTCATATTGGAATCATCTGGGCTCTAAAAACTTGAATAACTCCCCCCCGCCCCTGCTTCATCTCTGCCATCTGCAGCATACACAGTCTCTCTCTTGAGCCGGTTCAACTCCATACCCACAGCTTTCCTTAGCAGATATCTCAAGGTCTTGACGTCTCCAACATTCTGGGGTCTCCACTGGAACAGGCTTCACTTTCACAGCTTTATGCAGTGGCCTTTTGGGGCCTTGCTGAGGGACTCCAACCTTGCCACACATTGCCTTGCGAAGTGACTCTCTGGAATAAGATGCAAGACTCGATGACCTCTTCATTCTAGTATCCTTCATTCCTGCAAGACAGTGTCATGTGGATGCTGCTGCTAAGTCCCTCTGCTATCTTAGGATGGAGACTGGCCATTACTGGTCTTTGTGTGGCAGTCCTTGGGAAACACGTCCCTTGTGCATAGGGTTTTGAGCAGGGGACCACTTCCTTGGCTTTCTCAGTCTCTGCAGTCTCTTTCCCTTCAGTTGCCTTTGCCTTTTCACAGGTTCTAGTCTTACCCTCAGGTCACCTTTCCTGCTTTCCTAGTAATATATGCAATGTTGCAGAACATAATATGTAAACTTGTGTTGCATTTGTTTAATTAGGAAATGATGTGTTGCTGTTTTACCTTGCCTGCTTAAAGTACCTAATTGGTCTAATAAAAAGCTGAATGGCCAATAGCAAGGGAGGAAGTATAGGTGAGCAGGAAGAGTAAGTAAGAAGAGGAATTTAGGCTCCGGGAAGAAAGAAAAAGAAATGCCAGGGGGATGCCAGGGACCAGCCAGGAAGCAGCAAAGAAGAAATGAAATAGACAAAAAAGACACACAGAATGAAAGAAAGGTAAAAAGCCCCAAGGCAAATCGTAGATGAATAGAATGGTTAAATTAAGTTAAAAGAGCTAGTGGGACAAGCCTAAGTTAAGACTGGGCATTCATAATTAATAATAAATCTCTGTGTCTTTATTTGGGAGCTTGTTGGCAGCCCAAAGAAAGTTCCAACTATGTTTCTCTTTAGTGGTGCTAATCTCTTTAACTATCACAGTTGTAACCTGAGCTGTGGCTGCAATCTTTTCCTCACCAATCTGTATATTTTCCCATTTTACTGCTTTGCTTGTTGCTCTCTCACTGTCAACCTGGATAAGAGAAGTGAACAGTAACCATGCCACAGCCTGAATGCTATCCTGTCTAGAGATTTCTTCCACTAAACTAATTAGTGAATTATTTTTTAATTAAGCCTGACACATTTTCAGGACATGGGAAGAATGCAGTTAGATATCAGACTGATGGCCCCTCCTCCAGTTCCTGATAGAGTCCTTGTCCCCTCTCAAACCTCAAAGCTGAGCCGGCAGGGTTTGCATTTCTCTTGGCATTCTGGTCTTCCGAGGTCCCATCAATCTGGCTGATAAAGTCCTACTGTAGCATTCTAGAGTTTTTATAGCTCAAAGGTTCAATTTCTCCCTCATACTGCCTGCAATCCAGTTTCCAGTTCCAAGAGACCAAAAACCATATGCCAGGTACCAATTTTTATTTATTTATTTATTTTACTTTTCTTGCTGTAACAAAATGTTCAACAAAAGCAACTTAGGGAAACAAAGGTCTATCCTGGCTTACAGTTTCATGGCATAATGCATCATGGTAGAGATGGCATGGCTATCTTGAGGTGACTGGCCACCTTGCATCCACATACAGAAGGCAGAAGCAAATAAATAAATAAATAAATAAATAAATAAATAAATGCTGGTATTCAGCTTTGCTTGCGTTCTCTCTCTTTTTTTTTTAATTCACTGAAGGACCCCATTTCATGGAATGGTGCCACACACACACACAAAGGGAAGAAATCAGAAGTGGGGTGGGAACATCAGGAAGGAAAATTGTTTATAGCTGGCTGGATGACTTTTCTTGGAAAATGGAATAAAAGCAAACAAACACGAATTCAAATGACAATAACATTTTTATCAAGTAGGCAGACCCAACTCAATCTAGACAGATCATATACACAACATCCTAGTCTCCCTTCAGTGATTATAATGAAATACTTGAAGCTGAGGACTTTATGAAGAAAAGAGGCTTATTTAGTGAACCACTACTGAAGTCCCAGAGCACAGTATTGGCATCTGATTAGCTCTGGTGGTTGTCATAGAGGAGGCATTGCAATGGCAGGAATATACCGGGAGGAGATCCCATGTAAGCAGGAACTGACCGGAGGGGCGGGGCCAGCCTTGTTCTTTGATCAACTTCTCTTGGGAACTACCTGGGTATAGTGATACTTTGTTTATGATCTAACAAATAAAGCTTGCCTGAAGATCAGAGTGGGAAGCTAGGCACACCAACCAGCCAGCCGTACAAGCCAGGCAGTGGTGACACACACCTTTAGTCCCAGCGGCCTCACTAGTTAGCCACACTAGTTAGGGAACAGCGGTAGTGGTACACACCTTTACCCAGCACTAGAGAGGAATGTAAGGCCGGATGAGACAGGAACTTGCTTTCTTTTCAGCCCAAAGATTTCAAAGAGGTAAGAGCTCTCTAATGGCTTGGCTGCTTTGCTTCTCTGATCTTTCAGCTTGAACCCCAATATCTATCTCTGGGTTTTTATTATTTATGTTACAACTGGGCTCCTTTGGGAAACTGTTAATCTCATTGGCAAGGGGCTCCCAATGGCCTAATACTTTCCCACTAGACCCCTCCTCTTAAAGGTCCCACAATGTGCCAGTCATTTCACACTGGGGACCAAATACATGAATTCTGAGGGGGCACACTTAAGCTGCCTCAAACCATAGTTAGAGGAGACATTAAAGACCCTATTTATTACATTTATAGTGTGTGTGTGTGTGTATACCAGAGAACATCTTGCTGGAGTTGATTCTCTCCTTCCGTCTCCTAGGTCCTAGTGATTGAACTCAGGTCTTCAGGCTTGGTAGCAGGTGCCTTTACCTGCTGAACCCTCTTTCTGGCCCAGCGATCTTTTTTTTTTTTTTAAATATTTATTTATTTATTATGTGTACAATATTCTGTCTGTATATATGCCTGCAGGCCAGAAGAGGGCACCAGATCCCATTACAGATGGTTGTGAGCCAACATGTGGTTGTTGGGAATTGAACTCAGGACCTTTGGAAGAGCAGGCAATGCTCTTAACCTCTGAGCCATCTCTCCAGCCCCCCAGTGATCTTTTTTTATGAGTCACAAAGAACCACAAGGGAAGAAAACCAGGTGGTAGAAAGTAGTGAGCCTTTGGAGCTGTGGCAGCCACTGAGGGCATGGAGGCAAGGTGTGCAGGGTTTCTTCTGGTCTGTTTTAGGGGCCATCACCAAGGCTAGCGTGGATGTTACTGAACTCAGCACGGGTAGGAAGTCACTGCCTGGAATCTCAGCCCTGTTTAGGCCCCAGAATGCAGGCCTCTTCCCTGCCTGGCCTCCAGTGCTGGTCCTGGAGATGAGTCACAGGTTCTAAAAATAAA